GGCAAAGATCCAAGGAGGCCTTTCGGAATTATCAAGAAGTCGTTGGTGGTCACGTAAGATAGCACTCACGCAGCAAGAAGCAAGCTGACCGTGGTGTCGAATCCGAGCGTTGCAGTCAATGTCGGGAAGAAGTTTACGAAGCTCAAACCCAAGAGCAACGAGCACGTCATTAATGCAAAAATTGGTACCTTGGGGTCGGAAATGGCTTGTTTGAACCCTGACCATGCCCTGAATATGGCTGTCAATTTGAGTTCAGCTCGTTATTGCGCAATGAGGTACGTACGAGTCTTCTGCGTAATCTTTGTCGGCCTCTGCGGCATCCTCGGCCAGTCGCACTTGTGCCAAATGACGCTCTTCCGGAGATATCCATCGAGTGCTATGCGGATGATCTGGAAGTATATACAACGCACAAAATCCGATGAAGCAAGTGATGGAACCCTGTGGAAAGATATAAAGGCTTGGAAACGACGATCGAAGCTCGGAGTTCTAGCCTCAATGATGAACAACCTGTAAAATGGTTAGGACTGATTTATCAAAGGCTCAGAACACCTCTTACCACCTCCAGCCCTGTATACCTCTCTTACCCTCCATATCGGAGAGGATCCCTGCCGCCATCAACTGGAGGGTTGTTATTATTGCTTGTAGCAGAGAGGAATAGCGAATTTATCCCTCACACTTCCAAACGCATTTGATATAAGCAGCCCTGCATATATTATGGCAGAACGCAGTGCCAGCTCCTGACATCAATATCGGTATAACGCAGGCGTAAGATATCAATGAAATGAGTGGACCTTGCGAGTATACCATCGACTCAACAGGTAGATGGCACCCGGATAGAATGCAGACTACAAAAAGTTGAGATTGGTATCGCATTTCTGGTAGAAAAAAAGGCGGGTTGTACCTCTGGCAAACCAATGAAGATACGACAAAGCAATATGCCAGTGAAATTCTGAGCCGCGGCGGTGGAGGCTGAAACAATTCCCCACAGGACAATGCAGATGGAGATGTAGACCGATGGTCTGGTCGCAATCACTCAGCCGTTTGTGAGTATTCGGAACGCGACATTTACCTTTTGACCTTGTTGAGAATCTACAGAAAACGATTGGATTGGAGAATCATGACCTCGATATGTAAAGTCTGACGAACCATATTTGATGGTATCTTGGGTCCGTGTAAGGTCAATAGACATATACTTGCTAATCACGTACTTGTGCTGAACAATAGGATGCATACAGGACAGCAAGGACAGTGTCGAACTGCAGATCTGGGCAAGCCTCAATAATCAGAATGTATAGATCAAAACAAAGATAACTCACCTGTGAGATGAAGATCTTTCTGAAGGCCTTTCAACCTCGCAGAAGAAATGTTAGTCCTCTTTCAAGTCATTCGATTATTCAAATGTGCGATGGACAAACACAGAAGCACGTGCGTACATCAATCTGTTAGGGAGCTAGTTGAGCTGGAGAAATATTGAGAAGCAATGGGCCAGAAAAAACACCAACGTAGTTCATAATGAAGATCAAGATGACGCAAGGTAACAACCTGCAGTCAAGCTTCCTGACGAGGCGTCGCTCCGCCGTTCGCCTACCCTCAGCCAGAACAGACTTTACAAGCCCAGAATCATGATCAGCGATGGGGCTATCATTGATTAATTTATCATCTCCCTCGGTCTTCAGATTTAAGGCTGAGTCCTTATGCCAATCGCCACCAGCCCTGGTGTCCACAGGGATGGCACTGATGGGGGTTCTAGGAGTAGCCATGGCTCTGGGTGGGCTTCGTTCACATGAGACTATCAGGCCGTGGAGATTTACTCGGGACCGGGGCTCTCTACACGTTCTGGGGCGTCATTCGTCGAAGCATCGGGATGATTAGATGCATGTTCATTTCTATCCTTCTTCGGCAATGCCCGACTGAGGACTTGGTAAGAGAAGGGACATCGATATTGGGAAACAGACCCCCTATCACGAGTCAAAAAATATGGATATTAGTGTATATAAATGGGTTACGAAGCTCCTATATGCTCAAATCCTGAGTTGACGGCGCTGCAGGTGGTGGGGGAGGTATGTATTGATTGGGCGCAGGTTCCAACTCCAGCCGAGCCAACTTTTCGGCAAGTTTTCGCGCTTTTCTGACCTTTTTGGCATTCCTTGCCAATAGGCGTTCGCGCCCACCTCGCTGAATCCACCGTTCTTTTCTGCGACGTGCTTCTTTATGCTTCATAAGCTCTCTGAACTTCCACTCAGCCTCAGCGCGCGCCTCTTTGGCGCTTCGAAACCTCGAATCGCGGAGATGTGCCGTAATGAGTTCTGCCCGATCCCGTTTATTTTGCTCCAAAAGCTCTTGCCATCGTTTCTGTTTTTTGGCCCGGGAATGTGGGTTTGAAAGTTCATTGGTTGGGAGAACTTCGAAAGGCAAGGCGCCTCGGTCAGCCTGAGCGTCCCGAAACGACTGCAGGTACATGTCGGCAAGGGTTTGATAGTCTTCTGACTTGATTGCTGTGAGGTCTGTAGGGGGTTGGTATGTCGAGCTTTGTGCAGCATTTTCCGGTGAATCATATATCGATCCTATTATTCCCTCTTTAGCAGTCGGGCACGGAGGTAGCAATAATCACTCACGGGCTGGCGGGGTAAGAGGCAGCTGTCTTTCTGGCCAAGGAATGGGGATTCTAGGTTGTGCATCGCGCCCAGACATACGCGGTGTGGTGTTCACTGCATATCTCTCCCATTTCCACTGCAGCCCAACCCATTTGGGGGCAGACGTTGCCACCCGCGTCGCAAAGAGTCTGCAATCTAAGGATTAGGAGTATGCGCGACAGCGATCTGGATAAGTCGTACGGGACGCGGACTGGTGTGTCTTCCCCAGTTTTACTATATTCCTGCTGACCGACAAGCAGCTGACATTGCGAATAATGCACGTGCCGAGCGTATCCTGCATGTGATCTAGCTCGTTCGCCAGTGAGCTCTCCGGAGTCGCCCTCAAGGCCGGAATGGCTTCAGTAAAGAATAGACGAGGCGTATCACGATTGTCCTCACCAACTGTGTCCCCTTGAGATAGACCCAATTCTTCCACTTGTTCACAGCCATAACTTCTTTGATACCCTCATCCTCTTTGCCTCTTACTCTGATGAAATCGCCTGGTACAATGTTCCACCATTTGATTCGGTCTTTCGTTGCCGAGAGTTTGAACTTTTGGATTCCAAGTTTTCTTGTATGTGTGAGGTGCTTGGGAACAGGCTGCATATGCCGCAGGTTGGTAGTCGCCGCATTGGTGGTGGTGGATTGGGCCAAAATGCGTGATCTGGTCATAAACTTGTAGACCATCCTGACAAAATGGGACGGGATTCAGGGAGTGAAATCGCGTGTACAGGTATGGATAAAGGGAAAGAGAAGACAGCGGCGGGACAGAATTCGTCCCTCTGTCGAAAGTGAGGGAGACAGCGGTTGTCGTTTATTTCGAGATGATGAACTAAAATCGACGCAGGCTGCTTTCCGGGATTTCCCGTGCACCCGCTTCTTTGTCTGCGTTCTGTGAGAAATGGGATTGTACTCGAAGATGTCAGGAATGGTGGGAATGGTTTAGCCACTTTGCGAAAAAATAATCAAGGTTTTGTAGGAGAAGCTCAAACAAAAAAAGCAGTCCCTCAGACCGGGATCGAACCAGTGGCCTCGGGATGACATGTAACCATTACAGTCCCACGCTCTTCCAACTGAGCTACCGAGGGAAGTTATCAGCGCTCACTCTAAGCGCACTATGTTGGGAGCACGGATAGTTGACTTGAGGCCTGAGATCTGGGGACCAGCGCTTCACGCGGGCTCATAGGCTTCGTTCGCGTATTGATTCCTGTAACACGAGGTTGATATGCGTTCACAGAGACAACGAGGCAGTCTCGAGAGATCATTTTTCTAAAGCAATTGCTCAGGGAGAGAAGTAGAGTCGACCTAATGCGATCAAAACTTTGAAGTGCAACATATGTTGTTGGAAATCGTGTCCGACTTGGCAGTCTACTATACTTGAACGAAAAGTCGGACGCGACGATGTGATACTTATCCGAACCCATCCTGAAGGGAGGTGCTTGAGATCGGAGCCGGAGAAAGTTCATAAAAGCCCACTGCGGAGTTCACTATAGTACGGCCGGGGAAATATTGTAGATCTTCCAAGTCTCGTCCAAGACTCAGGGACCTCAGTTCCCGGTCGGTGGTGGTGTTGAGGAAGTCGTAACCTCAGCCTAACAACACCTGCTATTATCGTTCGTCACCGCTCTTCGACTCTGTACAGCTATAGATAGCATTACAGCATCACCTTGCGGAGCGCAGTGATGGTCCTTGACTAAGGCTTTGACTTGTACAATCTAAAAGACGTGAGTGACCCGAGGTCTCTAAGCAGATGAGATAGTGCGCACCCAACCGACTGGAAGATGAGAATAGACGGAGCTCTTACAAACGACGAAATTACGTTTTTCTTGGCTTGGATCCACAGTATCTGTCAACCACGAACGATTCACACACCAGTCTTGTTTTATCTTTGGTGTTACTTGGCTATTCTCGCCTAGTCTCATTCATTGGTTTCATTCTTCGTGCGCTGGCACTCCGGGTCCTGCTAGTGCGTTTCACTGACAAGCGAATTTAGCTGCTAAACTAGTATGTTGGTAACCTCTCCAAGCAATACTTTCGGTACTTTCGGAGGAGTCGTCATGTATCGTAGGTGGTTTACTAGCACAGTGCTGCGGTTGTGGTATGTTCTGATGGTTCTGTAAGTCTCTCGGTCAAGCTCGCATATCATGATCTGCCGGTGAACGATAAATGTCGCACTTTCGGAGCACATATGTCTCGTCCAGGAGGGTAACTGTTCTGTGGTTTTCCCTACGTGCCCTTGGGTGGGTTCCGAGAATTGGCCCGCAAATGGAGGAGTGGCGGTCAGGGTACAGCGGTCCCGTCTGAGCATTATTATTAACTGCACTTGGCTCCACGGACTCTATATGTTCTTTGCCGACCCTAACCCATCCCTCGGTAGCTCAGTTGGAAGAGCGTGGGACTGTAATGGTTACATGTCATCCCGAGGCCACTGGTTCGATCCCGGTCTGAGGGACTGCTTTTTTGTGTTCCTTTGGTAGGCTTATGTTATGGGCATCTATGCATAATTGATGTGGATTTTTTATGTTCCTGCATCGTACACGACGCTTGTTGATCTGGTTTCTGCCTTTTGTTTACAATAGGGCCTCTCACGCGACGCCCTATCTATAGCGGAGGCCGATTAATGACACACCTAACACTTTTTGTTCAACTCGAAGCCTTAGTTAATGAAAGCAGTATATATGAAATCTGTGGTAGGGCTACAATGGCGAGTGGAATCGCTGATGATGTTGAATCATTGCCGAATTGAGCTACATGTTGAAACGTGAATAAGAAACAATGCGAGAGACCTGTGGAGAGGAATGACAATTGATGATGGCGTGACTAATGAGAATAATCATATCTAGAAGACCCCCGCAAGTTAATGGATTACATGACCTGAGAAAAATGGGCTCACTTCTTGTAAAAGATCTCGGAATCTGAGGTGACGCCATTTTTGCGGGCACCTCTCGTTTGGACTCGCTTGCCTGCGCGTTCCTCGTTTCGTCGAATCTCGCGATCTTCCTTGAGCCAGTTCAGTGCAATTGCGTGAAGCGAAGAACCTGGCAAAGCGGTCTTTGCCGTGGGAGCCGTTTCAAGAATGGAAGGCCACGCTACTGGCGGAATCACAAAGGTGCCATCTCTCATGTGAGCGATATGGGTAGGGAAAGCGTTGAGGCCATCGAAGATATGAGTTGCGTCTGCAGCTGTATGAGCGGAAATGATTTTCATGTTATGAGAAGTGGGCTTACATAAGATGGTGGCGCCACGTTGCTCGCTTTCGTCAATAAGGAAATTCAGGAGGTGATCGCGCACGAGGACATCGAGATCGACTGTAACCTGACGCAGCGATGAGATGGCAATCGAGCGGAAATGGAGTGTCGTACTTCGTCGAGCAGAAGCAGATCCCATGGGGCCATGAGACCCATACAGAGCTGGACACGACGACGTTCGCCATCGCTTATCTGATGCATGTGCCAGTCGAGGTCGACGTCGAGAATATCAAGGAGTTTGTCTCGGCGTTCCTTGTGGCGGTATCCGCCAACCGAGTCGAGAAAGTGCGAAACAACAATGTCGCCTCGCACGACGGGGTTCATGGCCCATTCTGTACCAAGAAAAGTAACACCAGGAGGCGAATCTCTGAATACATCGCGGTCGAATATGAGGACCTTTGAGGAGTTTACAAGGCGCTTTCCAGCGCTAAAGCGACGACAGTCGGCAGAATTCCATTTCAGGGTGGAAGCGTTCTTACAGAATTTGCAACAGGGTCGACTTTCCGGCTAGGGGCATGTGAGCGATGCCCTGAATAGAAAAAGGGCAGGCTGACCTCCATTGGCACCGATTAGGACTGTCCTGGACCCGCGGGGCAGCTGCAGTTCGACGTTTCTAAGAGAGTAGTTGGCTGAATTTGCGTGCTGGTCGTGAGCATACGAAAGGCCTTGGATGTCTATAGCAGCAGCCATTTGATGAGCTGCGGTGTGTTCGTGGTACAAGCCAGGCTTTTTTTGTACGCGGCACAAATTTGAGACGATTGCTACCGTAACGCCGTGATCGCCTTTCTCACAACCACCCCCTCCTCCTCCTCCGCCCACTTCATCGACGCGCTGGCAACTGAGCGTCTTCTCCATCCCCTCTCTTTCCAACTACCGACCCTGCCACATTAATCTGGTCCCCACACTCGTTCAACCCCCAGCTATCGTTTTCCACCATGCTCCTCGACGCCCGTGGCTGTGTCACCTGCGAGAATCCTGCGCCTTGTAACTGTAGTCCCAGTCAGACCTGTGTGCAGACCAGCCAGTCAGCTCTTGTTCTCTTCGTCGCTCGACGTGCTTTTACTTATCGTTTGTCAGAAATTGTCAAGTCTGCGCGATCAACACCTGCGTTGCCAAGTCAGCTTCTTCCTCACACGGCATCAGCAACGGCGCGTTGGCGGGAGGCATCGTTGGTGCCATTATTTTCCTTGGTCTTGTCTCTGCTTTCCTTTGGTACCTCCATGTCCGCTCCCGTCGTCGCCACGCCGCCGAAGCTCAACCAGAGGTGAAGCCTGATATCCCAGCTCCCGCAGAAACAGTGCTCAGTCGCCCTGATCCAATCGAAAAACCCCGTCCTCAATCTGGTACAGTGCGGATGTACTCTAGCAACTCTCACACAACCATCAACCTTGATCCTGAATCGTCGCTGAGCGATGAGCCAGCCGCCGCGAATCCTTCTCGGACGTTAGCATCGTCTGGAGTCGAACCTCATAATCCTTTCATGGATCAGCAGTCCATACAGACAACCAACACTCAATCCACCAATGTCATCCCAATTGCTCTCGTCCCTTCTGGTACCCTGACATCACCGGCGTCCCCCGGTCACAGCTCTCACTCTCACTCTCACTCTCCCCTTCCTTCTCCACCCCCTCGACCGGTACGGTCGCCTGACCTGAATTTGCGTATGGATGATCGCAGATCACCCGTTGGAGACCGTGGAATCCTTAACTTGGAGCACGTTAATGTTTCAGAAGATAGCTTCAAGTTACAGCCACCCCGTCTCAGGGGGGCCGCATCAACACGATCAAACATGACGGGAATGTCCGCTAACTCTAGTGTTAGTTATATGACTAACGCCTCTGATCTGCTGAATGGAGAGGCGCCTATGATCATGACACCCGAGCGTGGGGCATTCCGACAAGTCCTAGGGACGACAAAGCCGCAATTTGTCGAAGTTCCCGCTTCTTCATCCGCTGATGGTTTCAGTCCTCTGCCAAGCTCACACCTATCCCCTATGCCGTCATCCCGGTTCTCTCGCGTGGCATTAAACAGATCGCCACTAGCGCAATCGGCGTTTACCCCGACGGATATCGAGATGGATGTTCAGGCAGAGCGTAGTCCTTTTGATGACAGTCATCAAATGGCGAACGGCTCAAGGAGAGGGTCGCAAGCTACCAGCACTCCAGATGATATATCGCTTCGATCCACAACGACGTATGGTGGACGTGCCGGTGACTGGGCTTCGCCCCATTCAGATAATCGATCTCGAGACAGTATTGGCACGATCAGCGCTTCAATTGGCAACGCACGGAGAGTCAACGTCGGAGCAGGGTCTAATGCCACTCGCACGGCTTCTGGATTGCTGACTCCAACTTCAGTGGAGTCGGCTGGTCCTGCTCCGAAGTTGCACAAGCGAGGGATGTCGTATGCTTCCGAGGCTTCCTCGCGCGCAGATAGCATCCTTGAAGCCTTCCCTTTCGTTCCCCCATCGCCAATCTCTTCGATCCCTCCTCGTTCGCCGTTAAGTCTGCAGTCTTTCCGTTCTGGGAATAGCGGAACTCCTACTGCTGCCAGATTCAAGACTTCTCCACCGTCTTCTTTCCGAAGTGAAGAACAGCAGCCTAGACAGCTCACTGACCGGCGAGCGCAGGCCGTCTCCGGTTTCAGTCAGGCATCTACCATGTCTTCTGGTTTAGAGCAATTCCCGTTCCAGCTCGATATCAATTCAGCCAGAGAATCGCAACCTCCATTACCTCAGCGCGACACAAGAGCCTCTCTTGACACGCTAGCGCTGTCTCGAGATCTCTCTGCTTTCCCACTGGCGCTCAACGGCGAAGGAGAGGTTCGTGACTCTTTTTCGACGCAGCGTTAAAATCCAAAGCGACGTTCAAGAATAATGGTCCGACTTCTGGAATGAGGCATGTTTCTTGTTTGCACTTTCTTTCTTTTCGTTCTTTGTCCCTTCACCGAAACAAATCTCGTGACATAGTTGGGAATCCTGTTTTCCTCTCTTTCTCTCTTTTGCGTCTTTTCCCTTTGGGGCTTGAATTCATGCTTTGCATTTGATCAGTAAATTAAACTATCACGTCGCTTCGTACCTTTTATTGGATGTAAGGAGTTATTTAATGAAAAATATATTCAGTACATGTAGTAAACGCTGGCTCTGTCGTAAAGTTCAATGATCGCGGAAGGCTACGGTAAGCGCTCAGTCGTTCTCCCGACTTCCGTCGAGCGGTGCCGCAACCAGTCGACCCCTCTTCTTGACCATCACTACCATCGTGGACGGGTCACGACATGGACAGCGAAATAGCCCAGCTAGTCGAGATGGTGCGAATACAGCTTTGGATACCTTTTTTCTTCCATGACTGATCTGTCTTGGACGATCTAGGGTGCCACCCCGGCGCAGGCGAGAGAGGCGTTGAAGAAGCATAGAGACGTGATGGAGGCTGCAGAACAGATATTTTCGGGAAGCTTTGATCATATCGTTGACGATGATATGAACATCGTAGAGAGCAAACCGACAGGATCGGCCAAGAAGCCTGCACGACCTCTTGTAAGATGCGACATTTCACCCTGCCTTGTTGGTGCGCTGACAGTGTTGCCTTTTAGACTCCACATGAGACAGGGAGCGACGACGAAGCCGATGGAAGCGATGCAGAGATGGATCTCGATGAAGGAGACGAAGGTACCGAAGCTCAGCATCGTGAGTTGCAGCGCAGTGGCATGACTGACCTTTGTCTCAGATGATTACGTTGACTATGCTTCGGATGGAGACGAGATCCAAGTAGGAAATGCCAAGGCCCCTCATGCGAGCGTAGATCCGTACGCAGGTATGTCTTGAATACCATTTAGCGATGGACCAAAAGATCATTGCTCCTATCAGGCATCTTCTTCTCCAAGGATCGTCGAGAAGAGGTTATAGAGATGGAGGACAGACCTGAATTCTTCAAGATACCTGGATTCAATGATTCTATCAAAATTATGTCACAAAGTGAATTCATGAGCGGTTGTCCAGAGGGCGGCGAACAAGGTTTCCTCTTTGCACTTTACAATCAGCTCGCAAATGAGACGTTCAAGTGTCCAACTACCTGTGGCCACACGTTCAAGCGCAATAAAGCCGACTTCTTTGCGATATATGTACGTGCCATCCAAGATATTTGATCCCAACCCTGTCTGAACCCTCATTTCTAGCCCGATTTTGCGACTTATGTGCAGCAATTGCGTA